ATTATTTAACGTTGATTTCAAAAATGACATTATTTTTGTCGAAAAGTTGAATTTTGATAGAGCGAACGGCAAAATATGAGGCAAATTTCATTGTTTTTTCACCGCTTTCGAAAAAAATTGAATTTCTAAGCAACGAAACAAAGCTTGCCAAAAAGGACACAACTTTTTTCTCATGAGTATGATGAATATAATCGAGCGAAAATATGTTATATCTTCTAAGTACAGAGACCTGATGTTTTTGCGAGCAGATCGAGGATATTTTTCGGATTCTGCTCATGTCTGATGTACTCATCAACCATTCTAAGTTCTACTAGTATCAAATCAGATTTCTTATATTCAATTTTGAATGAAGCATCGGCATTTACACCCTGCTCGTTTTGGCAGTTCTGATTCTGCCGTTAATTTATTGTGCCGCGATTAAAATGGCAATTTTAGCAGCTTTTTCATGTTCAGCTCGTAACGTTCTAACAGTTTCTTCCATCCATTCGACGAACTGCTTGCTATCCACCGAATGAACCTCATCATATTTAAAAATATCCACTAATCTGAGATGAAAACCAATTAGGCTTATGAGAATACTTAGCATTAGTCAAAGACTAGTTCCAATTAACTATAAAACTAAAACTGTCAATGTTACAGTTTTACACTTACAAAGATATTATTACAGTTTTACCACTACAGTTAACCGACAAACTATCTAGTAAAACTACAAACTTATATATGTTTCCACCCATTGCAGCAATATTAGTCGTTCACTGTTGTGTTACTTGATCAATTTCTCTTACTCACGTTGAAGATTTCAAGTAATAGAAGCGAAAAGAAAAGAAAAGTTGTTTTGCTTTATAAACTCGCACACATATTCTATTAAGAAACGTTTTTGTTTGAATTTATAACGCATGAAGCACTTTTAATCTCGCTTCATTATCCAAAAAAAAGTATATTTTCAACATCAATCAGTTCGGATCTCCGGAAACTCATATAACAATCTATCAGTTTTTCTTCATACATAAGTAATCCGAAGTATCTTCTGCTAAACGGGAACTAGGTGAAGTCTTAATATTTTCTGCTTCAGGGGTTGCATCGGATTTTCTGAGAGTCCCAGGATCAATATTTCTTTAAATGTGATAATTCCGAAAACGGATGGAACCATAGGTAATCGACCATGTTAGATCTCGTGGCAATATTTGTGCATCAAAAAAGTTCAAAAAGTCTAGTGAAAACATAGATTAAGTGAAATAACCCATTTTTGCCTATTTTTGAGTAAAATTAAAAAATTCATAACTCAGTCAAGATCAATCCAAATTGTGTCAGAATATCAAGATGTACGCTTTTTACTTGAGGATAGTAAACTTGTACTTCGAAAGATTTCTAGAAAATCTTTTCAAAAACCGAAGTATGTTCTGTTGGTTTTAAACCTTTCACTGAACTGCAGGTAAAACAGATACATCTTGATAACTAAAAAAATATTGATCCTGGGACTCTCAGAAATCCGATACCACGCCTAAACCAGAAAATATCAAGAGTTCGGTTGGTTTCCATTTTAGAGAAGACACTTTGATTGAGTCTATTCGAAGCAGTTTTAATTACTAAATAACATCTGTTATTAAAGAGCATAGTGTTTTAGTGCTTCAATTTTTGTAAACAAACAAACGGAAAACAGCATGTTTCGATCGAAAATTGAACTCTGGATGTTGGCCAAAGTTCTAATCATTAAGCCACCGAGACACACTTTTTGACATGTTTATTTCGAGTGATCTTAGTTATCAAACTGTCTATTGCAATGGTGCCTTACTGAGGCAAATTCTACTGCATACCTCTACCGAAGACATTTGGCTCACAAAAAAAGCACAATAACGTCAAAAATTAAATAACCTTCAAGGAAGCACTGATAAATCAATTTTTTCAAATGTTCTCGGGCTATACGAAAGTCCTCACCATGTTCTATGTGGGTAGCTGAGATGATACCTCTTCCTCTCTTGAACCAAAAGGCGAATCTGCAGAAGTAAGAAAACAGTGAAGGAACTTTTAAGACTAGCCAAGCATAGTTAAAATGCAGCTAACAATTCGTCGACAGTATCTTTTCGACATTCTGTCGAATACAGTTTTGATTCCGTCACTAGTTTTATTTATCATCTGGTGTTAGTCGAGCGATCAGTGACATTGTCCTCGACCGGGAAAACTGGCTGTGCTAAAAAATGTACAAATCAAGAAACTGATGTTAATGAAATGTCTACAGTTTTTAAATACCAGAGTATTTTAAGAAAAGCATGACTTTCATAACATAACGTTAGAGAACGAAAAAAGTTTGGAACATAATGTTTATTTGACATTTTCTCGTTTTAGTTACAATTTTCAATACCTATATTATTCATTCTAACGCTTTTACTTCAATACATTTACTGAAGAACATGAAAAACATGTTAATTTGGTTACTGTACGAAAACAAACGGTAACTATGCAAGGAAGAGTGTTGAGAAATTGTAAAAACAATAGTTGTCCACCTCACGCAAACTTCTAAGAGAGATGGTATGTTACTGTTGTTTTTTGTGAATTATGGCTTTTTCTGTTAATAACTAGTCGAATAGTTCCCTAACAGAAACAATTCGTTTCATCTGTCATCCTAACTAAAACTTCGTGAACTGCAAATACGGAGTATGGCTTCATCTTAAGCAGTTAAAAGGAAGCTTGAGGAATCAAAAATCGAGAAGTCCATTAAACCAACACAAACAGTATTTGATAAATCCGATAAAACAGAATACATCATTATTTGGCTCAAATATTGAGAAAATAAAACAGACATGTATCAATAAAATAAACCTACGTCATATTCTTGATTTTTTTCAAATATTCAGTCAAATGAATGAGTGTGAGCAATTCATTGGAGAAGTTCAGTACGAAAAGATCTTTTTAATCACTTCATGCAAAATGGGATGATAATGTGTACCTCGCCTACATGATATATGTCGATTACATTCTATTTATCCCTATCAAGAAATTGACCACGATTCGAAAAAATAGTGTCATATGTATAAAAAAGAAACGAGAAAATGCATTATGAGCTTTAATGCCAAAGGGAGTTCATCGAATGATAATCGATTCTTTCTAGGTAAAAAAATGTATATCCAAAAGCAGATGAGTTGCTTCTGGAACTGTTCAAACACCTTCGAAAATTTAATAGATATACAGCATCAAAGGCAGTATCCATATTCCATGTCAATAAGAAAGAAACAACAACTCAAGAACAAATGAACAATTGTTGGTTTCATTATCTGTTTACTAATAAACATAAAACCAAACGAAAGTTGTAAACAAAATTTTGTTGATCAGTGTCGAATACATTATAGAGGTAACAGAAAAGGTATTGGAGGCCATTGATGAATTCGATGAAATGTACGACGCTGAATTTATTATATGGTGGTATACAAGGGAAGGATTTTTGTATCGTCGCCTAAATAAAGCACTTCGCCAACAGAATTGTGACGCTTTAATTCCTATGCATTTTATTATTGTTGATTTATATACGGCATTGTGGATAGATTGTGAAAAACTTAAAGAAACTGAATGGACTGTTCAAGTTTATCGTGGTCAATTAATGTCAAAAGAAGAAATTAGCATATTAAAAGAAAACACAGATTATTTACTAGCAGTTAACAGTTTTCTATCGGCAAGTGTCGATAGGGATTTAGTATTAATATTTTCTGGATCTTCTTCAAACTGCTTAGATGAAGATGTACAATCTGTTCTACTTCACTCGGTAAGTGGGAATTTTATAAACCATTTGCTGATATTACAAGAAAAAGTTTTAACGAAGATGAGAAAGAAGTCATTTTTGCTCCCAATGTTTTCTCTTTTGCACACGTTAAGTCAAATATGACGAAGAGAATAACGTATGGCTGATAGATTTCGAGCCCATTGAGTTAAACAGTGAAATAAAAACTGATTTAGAGCGACAACTCATTAAACTTGAACTTCTGGTAGAAACATCGCGACTCGATGCAGTTCAAAAAATGGCGACTTCAATCTTCAGCCTATAATAGCATGGAACATAAGCAAAAATCTGATGAAAAGAGTTGGGTTCAATGAACTTGCAATTTATGATACAGTAGTTACAGCATCAGTAGCAGACTCATGTGAAATATTGCAAAGCAGCAGGAATTTTGTTGATTATAGTACTATAAAGCCAGAGAAAAGAAAAAATATTGCGAGGATATTCGAGATGCATATTTTGGATTGGAAATAATTATTATGACTTAGACGTACCCGAATCAGCTATTTCTTGTTATGAGCAAGGTAGTCCATATGATTACGGTTCGATTTCTGCTTGCCACAAAAGTGTGCAAAAGTACATGAAAAACAAAATAACATTGATAATGAAATCGACTATACTTCCATGTGCAAAGGCGACGATGATATTTGGAATCAGATCCTCTAGCAGTTTCCTCGTGAATGTTTAACCGGTGTGGTGTCACAAAAACTGCATCCATCGTGGACATCTAACCGGTGAGTTGATGCTTGAGATCTGAATGGCCTCTATCAAGTAGCACTACTGACTCACATATCGGTTTCGGTCCATTGCAGAAGTCTATACCTTGTTTGTAGACTTTGTAAACTTTCAAAGCGGCCAAGTTGACCACTTCGTCACAATTGTCATTCGAACGGGTAGACTCATTTTCCTGACAGCAATGCTTCGAAACTATTAATACTATCCAATGCCATTACAACGCCTGCTGCTAATAAGAAAGAGAGAATGCGAGTGGAACAAGAATAGGTATTAGACGCTTCATTGTCGTGTTGCTTGATCAATTTCTCTTACTCACGTTGAAGATTTCAAGTAATAGAAGCGAAAAGAAAAGAAAAGTTGTTTTGCTTTATAAACTCGCACACATATTCTACTATGAAACGTTTTTATTTGAATTTATAACGCATGAAGCACTTTTAATCTCGCTTCACTGCTGAAAAGGAGCATATTTCCACATCAACCATGGCAACATCATTAAGAGAACAATGTGACATGAATACGAAACAACGTTATTCTGATATCGATGGTGAACCCATGAAATTGTTTGATCCAATCGAAGGCTATCAGAAGTTACCGTTGTTGTCATTAGAAGAGTCTGTCGAACCACTCTCGAATCTGATTGATGATTTACCACGACGAGTTTGGATGGCAAAAGAAAACTGTCAAGAACGAAGCGACAGTTTAACAGAAGATGAAGCTGCTGCTATTTGCTTATATACTATGGAATGGAAATCGAGGCATCGAAGTCTCTATTATCAACTAAATGAAACATTACGTTCAAAAGAGAGGGCCCAACTCATCGACGTTTGGCTGCCCTACTTGAAACTTGTTCTCACAGCTTTATACAAGTTACCGTCGGTGAAGCAGTTAGTTTGGCGAGGTACCAAAGTGGATTTGAGTGGCTCTTATAAGCGAGGAAAGAAATATCCATGGTGGGGTTTCAGCTCGTGTACAGAGTCGATTGAAGTTCTACAATCGAAAGCGTTCCTTGGCAAATCTGGCACTCAGACTATGTTTTGTATAGAATGTCAAAATGGCAAACTGATCACACCATATTCTCTTTTTCCAGCTGAAAATGAAATTCTCTTACTTCCAGGCAGCTATTTTGAAGTGTCGGGCACGAGTGATTTTCATGATGGTTTACACGTTATACATGTGAAAGAGATCAGTCCACCATATGCATTAATAGAATCACCATTTGCTACTGATAATTCGATAAGCCAAGGAGCGAGAAGTGGTCTGAGCGTCGAACGAAAGAAGGATACTAAAGATATTCTCCAGAAAGCAGAAGAAAGTAAGCAATGTAATGTGTCTACTAGCAGACATCTTCCATGAATCAAACGCAATTTTTGAGATTGAGCCAAAGTAAAGAAACGGAAAACAGTTTCAAGCGAATCTAGCTTAGATTAAAAGCACTGTTTGTTCCAGAATGGTATAACAAGGTCAGAACAACCGTATCCTTTCTCATTCATTTACCCTTTTCCAAATCGTCAAGGCTACCCGTGTCTCATCATTTTATTTTCAGAGATCCGGCTGACTCGAAATCCTTTAAGAGATTTGCCAATAACTCAGCCTAGAAAGACGCTGGAAAGTCGGGGAAGGTCTCATTTTACTCAGAATTCGATGCGCATTCAGATGCAAAAACGAAGCATACTCTTGTGAAACAAGGCAAGGCGAATCTTCTGGCGTATGATAAAAGTATCTAGCTCTCATGACAAAAAAACAGATAGCATTGTGCGGTGAGAACCTGAAGATTCGAGCGATCAGTGTTAGATCAGCTACAAGAGTTCAAGACTTGAAGAAAAGTCATCGAATGAGCCTAGATGTGCTTCACGACGCTGAATCCAAAAATCGCACCGGTGAGATCGAAAAATGAAAGTCAGAGTATTTTGAGGTTTTCTGCATGAAAACTAGGTCATATTAAAAAAGAAAGGTCAGATTCGTGATCAGCAGCGTCCGACCAATAAGAATATGTGTTTTTTAAATTCTAAAGCTTTCCCAACTTGAGTTTTGAATTAGCGGCGCCTTATATGCGAAATAGTACTTGGACAAATATTTCTCTAGAATATGAGCAATAAAAACAGGCCAAGCTTAGATGAAAATATTATTTTCCGTATGTTTAAGCATGAAAATCTTCTCGTTCATCCGCTAGGGAAACACGAGCGAAAGTCAGAATAAAGCATTACTTAACTGTAGAGGAAATATAAAGCACTAGTGCAAAAGTGCCACTTACTTTCACAGCGCAAGGAAAGAAAACCAGCATTGGTACAACACCCAAAGATGACTGGCAACATTCAAACACAATGACAACACCTGAATATAAAGATGCCAAAAAGCCATTATCGAAAGATATTGAAACAACTGTTGATAAGCTCAAATTAGGGCAGGTGGACGTTTTGGATCTTAGTGGTAAACTAGCATCGAAAGAAGACACAATGGCTATCGCTGAAGCATTGAAGATAAATAAAACATTGACTGAGCTTGGGATATCCGAGAATAATATATCGCATCAAGGCGCAATGGCGATTGCTGAAGCATTGAAGATAAATAAAACATTGACGCGGCTGTGGATATCCGAGAATAATATATCGCATCAAGGCGCAATGGCGATCGCTGAAGCATTGAAGATAAATGAAACATTGACTAAGCTTTGGACATACAAGAATAATATATCGGATCAAGGCGCAATGGCGATCGCTGAAGCATTGAAGATAAACAAAACATTGACTGAGCTTGGGATATCCGAGAATAATATATCGGAAGAGAAGAGAAAAGGAATTAAGCGAGCATGGAATAAGAGGTCGTCGAGTCTCTATTGTTAATAAACATGTTTCCAGTGAATGGGGAACTCTAACGAGTTAATTCATTTCGCCAGAGAATGTAGAAGACTGTCGCAATGGGCGCAACTGATTGATCTCGTCATTCAACCTCCTGTTAACTGGATTTTTTGAGAGTAAAGCTCATTTTGTTTGAGTCTTTACATATATTGCAGAGCTAGACTCATTGTGAAACTGACTGAAGCATTGAATCAGAGCACGGCCAGTTACAGCTATAAAAGTAAAAGTAGTTGCACTTGTATTTTTACTTTAAGTACATCTCAAGTATTCAACTATTTTTAGACTAGGATCTGAAAATTTTATAGCCCGGAGGTTATACCTATGATTGGCATTGCTGTGAATTTCGTTTATTCTAGCCGTCTGATTTCTGCATTACATTGGAAATACAGAAAGTTGAAGTTCATCAAATCGAGCATTACTCAAGAAGCGGCATGGGTGGGTTCCGAATGCTTTCGGACTGCTGATATTCCGTCAACAGTTAATAAATATCGCTTCTTGAATCATATCGTGTTTTATTCGGTCTTTGGTTTGAGAACCCCAAGCAAGACTAAGTAAACAAGAAATTTAGCTGCAAAAATAGCAGCGCCTACTTACAACAAGACTAAAAGGTTCATTTATTTAGCTACTTGCTGTTTGAAATTGTGTACTGAAACGGCTGCTAGATTGGCTGGTTAATCGATGGTAACTAGTTGCACCTAATTGAAACTAGATTAAACGTAGTTAAAGCCAGATAGAATTTACATGTATTTCAGTGCAGCTAGATAAATGTACCTTTTAATCTAGATGCAAGCGGCCGTTTCACGAGTTTTTTCTGAGCTTGAGACACAATGCACAATAACCACATGTGTGCATTTTGAGAATATTATTGATTTAAATTATTGGTAGTTAAACAAAATAGATTGAGGCGAAGTAGAGTTTGTAATACATGAGACTAGACATCCAGATGTTTTTCCTTGAAATAAAGTTATAAAACGTGGCTATTATTAACTTTAACGTTTAATAACCAAGTACAAACCTAAACGCACAATAACAAAAAGAAACCAATTACATAAGAAGTATAACATTCTGGATAAACTGTTTAGTTGACAATTAAAGAAAAAGAAGTATTAATTGGTAAAAGAAGGATGAGATTGAGCGAAAAAACCGTTATTCTTGTCATCTAACTGTTATCATCAATCTATACTACTTTACTATTTTACCACTTTTTGTTTCTTCTTCACTTTCGTTTTCATTGTTGGGTGAACTTGAACTTGACTGAGAAAAAGGCGAAATACTTAAATTAGTATGTGCAGCTAGATCGTCTGACTGCTTTTCATTGTCATTGTGTACTTGACCCGGTTCATTGTTATTAATTCGTTGATAATCATTATTTTTGTTATCATTACTATTTTCTTCAGATGGGTCTTCAATTTTTAAACATTTCCTAGCTAAAATATCTCGACGTAATTGTACTTATACATTTCTCAGTATTGAATATTTCGCTTTCATAAGTTTCGTTTGACTATCCATAAGCTTTTGAAACGGCTTCTGAAAATAAGAAAAAATGAACATGTTAGCAAAAGCCCTCAGCTACTCTAATACACATACAGATCTGCATGGGCATGATTTTTCTACCCGTGCCCGTAATCCTACTGACGAGGGAACCTATCCAACTGTCGGACGCCGTTTGACTTCATATTTTGGCTATGAGTAGGACTCAGTGAGACTAAGAAAATCCTAAAAGGGTTCGGGCCCATGACTCTTGAAGTCCCCGTTTTCTGGAAAACCAGTTTTTCAAGAACTCTAAAAGATAACTAAACCCTTCTTTTAATGAGATATAATTGTAGCCCGCAAATTTCTGATTAAAATGAGACGTCTTCCAGCTCTACACGACCT